CTTTCAGCTCCCATGAAGACTTAAAGCCTCAAACACCCTATACAGGTCTCTATGATTCAGAGCCAACGCAACGGTAGTTAAGAACAATATATGTGTATAAATAAATATGTATAGTGGTGATGGTTGTGTGCCATCGAGTCAGTTCCTACTGAGGCTATAAATCTTAATGCAAACAGAAAGCCTCATCTTTCTCCCACAGAGTGACTGGTGGGTTCAAACTGCTGACCTGGCAGCTAGCAGTCCTATTGCAACCCATATATATATATATGTGTGTGTGTGTGTGTGCTGCAGGATAATGGACTAGACTGCAAGGTCAGTTTGAACCACAAGGTCGGCTGTTCAAGCTCACTAGCCACTCCTCGGAAACCCTATACAGGGTCTCTATGAGTTGAAACAGACTAAAACACACTTAACAACAACAAATATATGTGTGTATTTGTTGTTGTTGAGTGCTGTCAAGTTGGTACCAACTCATAACGACCTTATGCACAACAGACCAAAACACTGCCTGGTTCTGTGCCAACCTCATAATCGTCACTATGCTTGAGCCCATTGCTGCTGCCACTGTGCCAGTCCATCTCATTGAGGGTCTTCCTCTTTTTTTGCTGACCCTCCAATTTACCCAGCATGGTGTCCTTCTGCAAGGACTAGTCCCTCCTGATATGTCCAAAGTATGAGAGATGAAGTTTCACCAACCTGGCTTCTAAGGAGCATTCTGGCTGCACTTCAAACAACACAGATCGGTTTGTTCTTTTGACAGACAATGGTACTTTTAACATTTTCCTCCAACACCCTTATGAAGACCCCTCTTACCACTGAAAGGCCAGCTTACCCAGACTCTCTTTCCCCCTGCCCCAGTCTAGTGCAGGATTCAGAGAGCTACTCCTATGTGAATGAGCACAGCAGCCTGGGAGGAAACAGTGACAATCTTTAATCAAGAGACCTCAGGTAAGGACGTGAGATGGTGGCAGAGTCATAGGGAACTACTCATCCTGTTAGACTCTTCTCCAGAAGAGAGCTCAGCAGTCCTCAGCTTTCCTCCAAAAACCATGCCAACGTGGTCCAGGGAGGGTGCTGACCATGCAGCATGCCAGCTCAAAAGGCTCTTTGGGAACCAACTACATGGGCCCAGATGGGCTCTTCTGTTGCCACAGAAGCCCTGCAGGCACCAGCTCTTTGTCATTAGCAAGGTTGTCCCAGAGCCATCCACAGGCCTGCCAGGCCACTGGCCAAGTTTCCTCTGCCCAGAGTCTTCCAGAGGTTGAGACCTGCTTACACCGTGGGTTCCTCTTCCCTGGAGACAGTGGGTTTCCGGGGGGCGCAGCCGGTTGTGGCTGCCTGGGCAACAGAGAGTCTGGAAGTGGTGGGGAGGGTCTGTGAGGTCTTAGGAAGGTCACGGAGGTGTTTGAGGGGCTGGAGGCAGTTGTGGAAAGTGTTAATGTTTTAGCCAGTGTGGTAGCAGGCAGGGAAGGCCACCTGGATGCCGTCCCGGCCTTGGAGACAGAGGAGGGCTGGGGAGTCATGGGAGGTGCCCAAGGAAGCTCCGGAGAGGCTGGAGGTAGAGTGGAAGCTACTGGAGGGGTGGAGGGCCCTGAGGAGGGCTGGGGACTCGGGAGGTCCTGGGCTCCCTTGGGAACATGTCCCCTGGTCCATACAGGGGTGAGGGCGAGGCCTAGGCTCCGGAGTGGCCTGAGCATGAGGTCCGTGTGTTGGACAAGTTCGTCCTTAAGAGGAGTTGGGAGACAGGGAGGGCTAGTCTCTGACAGGATGCTGCTGGAGTCCCAGGCAGGCACTGCAGTGGACAGCATTTGGGAGGTCCTCTGTGTCCTCATGGGGTCCCCGGGCAGGTACTACAGTGGACAGCACTTGGGAGGGCCTCTGTGTCCTCATGAGGCTCCGGGGCAGCCTTGCTGAACTCCACGTCCCCACCAGCAGGGAGCCTCCGTCTTCCTTCCGGAGGGATGGGGGACTCTAGAGAGAGGTGGGGGAAGTGAGGTGCACAGTGATTCTCCCAGGGCTGAGGTGGACCCTAGATGAGCTGTGCTGGAGACAGGCACTCAGCTCCATCTTCTGAGAGCTTCAGCCTCACACCTGCTACCTCCAGCAAGAGATGACTGAAAACAAGCTATGGACATGGGCAAGTCACCTGGGCCTCTGTTCCTTCATCTGTAAAATGGGCATAGAAAGAGTGGGTGTGCAAGGCTGCTCTGAGGGTCACTACTATGGGGCCTTGAGCAGACGTATCTCTCTCTGAGCCTGTTTTTTTCACAGCTGGCCCTGAACACACTCTAAGTTTCTGGGCAGGGAAGTAAAGTGGAAGAAGAAAGGGAAACCCAAGGACCCCAGGGCCCATTTACCTGGGCAGGAGGAGCAGCAGTCCCTGGGGGGGACGTGGGGGTCTGCACAGTCGTGGTGGCAGGGGACCTTCTCACAGCTCACCTCTCCCAGCTGAGGAAGCAGAAGAGCACACAGGCACATACATGGGTCAGGAAAGCCAGAGCAGCATGCCTGCTCAGACCAGCAGCAAGTCCCAGGATAGCAGTGGCTCACCTCAGGCCCTACCTGAGCCAGAGGGGAAGCCCAACCTGAAGGCAATCACTTCCCCACACCCTGGACTTCCAGAAAGAAGAATATTGTCAGCACTAAAGACATTCTAGCAGGTAATTTAAGGTGAAGAGCAGCTGGAGGAGGAAAGGTTTATGCTGGCTAATGGGTAACATGCTGCCTGGAAGTTTGAGTCCATGAGACACCTCGGAAGAAAGGTCTGGCAATCTACTTTGAAAAAATCAGCCACTGAAAGCCAGTCGACTAGTCAATAGCAACTGGCTTGTTTTTTTTTCCTATTTTTCCAAGGTCAGGGGCTCCATGTCTCACAAAAGGGCACAGTTAAGAAGCAGCCGCCCCCAGGCCAGCTCACCTGACAGGTGCACCGGGTACACGGCTCATCATCCAAGGTGAACACCTGGCCGTTGGCCACCTTCCTTCCTTCATAGTTGCAGTCTGCGGAGGCAGAGGAGACAGGGCCCCTGAGAGCCAGGCCACCCGGGAGCCTCGGGCCTGGGGCGCTGGTCCCACTCACCTCGGCACACGGGGCAGCATTCCCCATCGGGGTGAAAGGGGTAGGTACAGGTGATGGGGCAGTCCACGGGCGAGCAGGCCACTGAGCCCAACTGCAGGACAAAAAACACACAGGCCCTTTGATCCGGGGGATGCTCGGGAAGCCATGAGGCTGGGGGCTTTTCTTGTAGGGTCTATCTTCTCGCTAGGATGTAAGCTCCTTAAAAACAAAGACTACCCACCACGGAGCTCATCTGCCAACAGACACCTGATGAACCAGTCTACAAACTGCCCTGCCAGGTGGGCAGTGACATCTGAGGAGAAAGCAGGCCCCAGAAGCTGAAGCTCCCAATGCATGTGACCAGGAACGCACGGGCCCCCACACAGAGGTCACTCAGGGGGTCACAGGAGTGTGGACTCTGTGTTTCTCAATCCTCCTGTAGACCTTGTCCCTTTCCATGTGGGCACCCGGCAGATGACCATTCTGTCTGCACCAACCGCCAGCAAAGAAGCTGTATCAGGCATTAGATGCTTCTAGCAATAAGAATTTTTGTTTTCCTTGTCCAAATATTAGATGATCTTTTTCTCTAACATGTTTTTTTCAGATGGAGAGGCTGTATGGCTTAGGACTAAAAAACTAGTTTGACTCTTGGCACTTTGATCTTGAGTGGAGCCCCTGGGTGTCACAAACAGTTAAGCACTCAACTAGTAGCCCAAAGACTGGCGGCTGGAATTTACCCAGAAGCCCCTCAGAAGATAGGTCTGCCTGATTATGTGCTTCTGAAGGCTGCCACAGTCTGGAAAATGAGCTCTATTCTGCTCACATAGGATTGCCACGAGTCAGACTCAACAGGGAGTAACAACACGATCGTGGGCAGATTCTTTCCTGTCCCTGAGCCTCGATTTTTCTTGTCTCTAAGAGGAAGATGTCGGTGGAGCAGCATCACAGAATTCTTGCATGGGTTAACTGAGTTAATGATTGTAAAGGGCTAAGAACAGAGATACAGAACAGAATGTCAGATTCTCATGGAATCCAGACTTTCTGGATCCATAGAGTCTGGATGGGTCCATCAAAATTATTGCCCTGAGATCATCTTTAAACATTAGACTTTCAACCAAAAATACCCCCTGAAGTCTTTCTTCTTTAAATCAATTAATAGTTTAGCTTAACTAGTAAAGAATGTCTCCCTTGATTATGTTCGTTTAAGTTCTAGCTAGATGAGATCAAACTGGCAACAGCTTGAAGATGCAACAGGAAAATTAGGGGTCAGGAGGGGGAAGATGGTGGCACAACAGGAAGAATGTCATCAATGTCACTGAATTGTACACATAGGAATTGTTGCGTGAGTGTATGTTCTGCTATGGATATTCTCAACAAGAACGAAAATTAATTATTTTAAAAGAATAAAAGATTCTGATATAGACCCTGGGTGTGTGCTCTCCCCTCCACCCTCATGACAATCCAGGTCATACTTGATACAACAGAAGGCCCCTCATGACTTGCCCCGGCAGCCAGGCAGACCTTTGGCAGAGGGTTAGAAACAGTTAACTGCCCTGTTAGCATCTGTCCTGGGCAGGGCCGAATGGGGCCAGCTTTCACTGTGAACCAAAAGCGACCTGTCCAGGGCTCTCAGAGCTGACCCCAGGGGGCTTCTGCAGACAGGGTCGGGGCTGGTGGTCCGTACCAGGCAGATGCAGCTCAGACAGGGGTCCAGCACAGACGGGAAGGTCTCGTTGTTGTAGAAGATTCTGCCTGTGTATGTGCAGCCTGCCAGGGAGAGCACGCAGTGAACACCAGTCAGGGGGACACACATGAGGGGAACAGGTGGTTAGGGAGAACATGTGTGAGGGGAACATGTGATGAGGGAAACACATGGTGGGGGGGGAACATGTGGTAAGGTGAAACACAAGGGGAACATGTGGTGAGGGGAACACATGTAAGCGAATCACATGGTAAGGAGGAGCACACGTGAGGGGAACACATAAGGTGAAACGTAAGTAAGGGGAACACACATGAGGGGAACATATGGTGAGGGGAGCACACTTAAGGGGAACATGTGGTGAGGGGAACACATGTGAGGGGAACATGTGGTGAGGGGAACACATGTGAGGGGAACACGTGGTGACAGGGAACACACAGTGAGCACCAGTCAGGGTGGTAGGCACCACGCTCCTGACCAAGGCAAAGGTCTGAGGCTTATCTGGAGAGCAAAGATCAGGCCCTGGCCTCCTGAGAGCAGTGATTCAGGGTGAGGGAAGAGGCAAAGCACACGTCTGAATTGGGGCTGACTGTGTTTTTCATCAACTTTAGTAAAGGGATCGAGTGGATATAGAAGAACCCGGAGATGGGGTTTGGGTTCTTGCTTTAGCAAGGGAAGCTTCCTCCTCTAATCCTCATCAGGTGAGATCATGCCAGGGCTTGGGCAACCCCAAGTGTGCATCATGCCATCTTCCCAGAATCCTCTCTGCTCCTCCCCACTCAGCCAAAGCCTGCCAAGGCCCAAGGCCCACCTCACACCACACTCTGTCCACACATTCCCCACCCCATTCCCTCCTCTGCTTCCTGATGCCCCCAGACCCTGGCCTCCATGCTACCTTGATGATATTTATCACCTGCTGCTCAGGTCAAAGGGAGCCCTGGTGGCACAGTGAGTAAGCGCACAGCTGCCATTGGAAAGGTCAGTGGTTTGAGCCTAACAGCTATTCCATGGGAGAGAGTTGGCAGTCTGCTCCCATAAAGGAGGCAGCCTTGGAAACTCCATGAGGCAGTTCTACTCCACTCGGTAGGGTCCCCAGAGTCCTGGTGTGGCGCTGGGGGTGAATGCGTTGGACTATAAAGTCAGACTGAACCACAAGGTCAGTGGGTCAATCTCACCAGCTGTTCTTTGGAAACCCTATACAGGGTCGTTATGGGACAGAACCAACTCAATGGCACTTAACAACAACAGGGTACCCCAAGAGGAAGAACTGACTGAAGTGCAGGGGGGTTGCTTTAGCTTTGGGGTTCAGCACAAAGGGTCCCTGGTTGAACCAAGCAGTTTGAGCTCCACTATTAACTGAAAAGTTGATGGTTCGAACCCACTCAGCAGTGCCACAGAAAAAAAGCCCTGGCACTGTGTTTCTGTAAAGATCACAGCCGAGAAAAGGCCATGGAGCTCAGCTCTCTACTGGACCCCAAGGGATCACCGTGAGTCAGAATCCACTCAGTGGGTTCGAATTCAGTTCGAAGCAGGTGATGAAACAATACGGAGGTATTTTACCAGGAAAACACTATCTATTATAGCTCTAGTATATGTTGAGTCTCTGAGTAGTAAAAAACAGTTATTGTCCTTGACTACTAACTGAAAGATTGGTATTTTGAGCCTACATAGAGGCACCAAGGAAGAAAGGCCTGGAAATCTAATTCCAAGAAATCAGCCACTGGAAACCCTAGGGAGGAGTCAAGCACCTTGAGATCATGAGTCACTGGATGTGGATGCTCAGGACCAGGGTCTAGGGACACACTGAGGTCAACTGGCATTAACACAGTCCATAAAAAAAAGGTTCTATAATCTATGTCGCTGATTAGTGACTGGGGTAACAGCCACCTAAAGGGGCAACTGTTGGTCTCTCCCTGTCTAGAGGAAAGAAGGGTGAAGAAAATGAACAGGAGTGAAGACGTATGAAAACAATGAATCCAGTGGACTAATGGACAACGTGAACCCGAACTACATGATGCACAGTCATTGCTACCAACTGTTCTGAAAAGGATCACGTCAGGAGATCCTGGATAGAGAGGAAGAAAAATATGGAACAAAATTAAAAATTGAAAAATAATAAGACCAGGCTTACTGGTCAGACAGAGAGACCACTGCCTTTAGTCACCTTGCAAGTCTGGAGATGACCTCCCCCAAATAATAGACAGATCTGTGGGTGGGAAAATCACACCAGAGAGGCACGCACTCTTTGGATTTATCAACCACTTGAGATTTAAAGGACAGCATTTACTCAGAGACACAGATCAAAAGGGTTAGGAAAGGAAGCAGGAATGGGAGAAAGACATACATGGAGAAAGTGGGCTGAGGGATGTTATACTGTTCGGAGTACAATCAATGACATGAAACAACGTGTGTCTGCATTGTTGATGGAAAACTGAGCTACTCATAAACCTTTACCCAATCCACAATGAAATGTTTAAAAACACAAAGAAAGAAAGTCCGATGGAGTACAGTCCTAATGACACACATGGACTCACTGAGTCAGAACTGACTTGGCAACTAGTTTTTATTATTGTTGTTGTGGTGTTGTTAAGTGCCATCGAGTCGGTTCCAACCCATAGCGACCCTATATAGGGTTTCCGGGAGCCACTGATAAGCTTGAACCGCCGACCTTGCAGCTCAAACAGCTTTGCAGTCTGGCACATTAACCCACAGCACCACATCAGGGCTCCTGGTTTTTATAATACGTTGTATGCAATCTACATACACGTATGTATTATATTAAGAAAAACACTTGTTGCTAAATGCTGTCAAGTCAGTTCTGATTCATAGTGACCCTGTATAAGGTTTCCGAGGAGCAACTGGTGGGTCTGAACTGCCGACCTGTAGTTAGCAGTCCAGTGCTTGAGAAAAAACACTAGAGTGTCATCCATAAACACAGGTTAACAGTGTAATGTTGTTGTTGTTGTGACCAATGAGCCCTTTTAAATTTTTTGTATTTTCTAAATTTTCTATGCTACTTTTAAAATATGGAAAAAGTGAAAAAAAAAGTCATGTTTAAAAAACAAAGGGATATTTTCATTTTCTCTCATTTTCTCACAGGCATAGGTCCTTTGACTCTACACCCAGGTATTGGCTCTGCGTAGCTTTCTATCTGCATTGCTTAATCTCTCTGAGTCTCAGTTTCCTCATCTGTACAATGGGATTATCCAACAGGGTTGTTGTGAGAATAATATGAGATGGCACTTACATGGTGCTTAGAACAGGGGAGGAGCCTGGTGCAGGGTGAGACTGGATAGGGGCTCCCCTAGACCCCTGCCGTGGGAGGTGGGACTGTGTTGCCCCCTGGCAAGGAATTACCTGCTGAACAGTCAGGGCAGCATTGTCCAGGGATCCGAATCGGATGAGGGCAGGAATCCACGCAGTCTGTCCTCTTACAGCTCACTGAGCCATCTGCCTGAAGGGAGGAGGAACTTCACCAAGATCCCACTTAGGACACCAGCCCCATCCCAGGCCCCCTCCAGTGTCTCAAAGGAACGGGAGATGCTGCACACTGGCCAAGGCTTGCCCCAAGGATGCTATGATGCAGTCGTGAAGTGGCAATTCTCCTGCAAAGAGGACCAACTACTGAGGGAAAGTGGCTTCAGCGTGCCTGGACTCCAAGCTTCCTGTTTCTCTCAAGGAGCAGGTCAAAGGCAAACAACACGCTACCCCATCACCACCTCCAAATCCCCTCAGCTCCTCCCTAGAGCCCTGGTTCACCCCAAACCAACAGAGTGCCATAAAGGCTTAGTTTCATAGAAAACCATTCCACGAGAAATGCTTATTTCAGAAGATGGAAGTGCCAGGCAGGTTGTTTTTATGAATCTAAATGTTTACAAACATTTTGTTACTTTCTTAGAATCTGAAGCCCTTAAATCAGTCATAAAAGGAGAAAGCAGGCATCCAGATGTACTTTCTTCCAAACCTAATTCCAATTAGACATGCTAAAGCATTGTAAGGGAACCCTGCTGGTGCAGTGGTTAAGCACTGGAGTGCTGACCAAGAGGTCAGCAGTTTGAACCCACCAGCTGCTCCCTGGGAGAAAAAGGAGGCAGTCTGCTTCTGTAAAGATTTGCAATGTACTCAATGGTTACTCTACTCTGTCCTAGATGACCACAGTGAGTCGGAATCAACTTGCCGGCCATGGGTTTGGGTAAAGTGCGGTGGGTCCAAGACATTTTAACAAATGGCACATCAGTGGTACTTGAAGGCAGGGCTTCTCACACACTAAGGTGCACAAAACTCACCTGGATCCGAGGCCTGGGCAGAAGCTTGAGAGCCTGCAAGTCTAACAAGTTCCCAGGTGTGGCCAATGCTGTGGACCCAGGGACCACATTCTGAGAATCAGTTCTAAAGGACTTAAAAGACGGCTGGCCGTTTGCATCTACCCAACAAGTCTGCGAAAGGAAGACCTGGCAATCTGCTTCCATGGAGACTGTTGTTATGAAATGCCATCGAGTCAGTTCTGACTCACAGGAACCCTGTATAGGGTTTCCGAGGAGCAGCTGGTGGATTTCAACCACCAACCTTATGGTTAGCAGTCCAGTGCTTATCCTACAGCGCCACACATGCCTAGAAAACCCTACAGGGAAATTGTTCTCTGTCACAGGTCACTATGAGTTGAAAGTCAGCCCAACAGTGCACATCAACAACCAAGGATTAAACAGTGAGCAAAAAAAAAAAAAACACTGTTTCCGGGGAAATGGCTGTGTTTGCATTCCTGCCAATCTGACTCTCAAACCCTCGTACCTTCTTCTTAACCATTTCTGATAAGGTAAAGTCTCATGATTCATATTAAGGAACATGCAATTTCCCAGGAATTTCCTGAGCCCTTGGGTCACTGGCCACCCCAGCCCCCTCTTTTCCATGTGTGGGACCTTCTATTGGAACCCCACCAACTCCTCAGACCAGCAGCTCTCAGCACAAGCCAGCATCTACACACAGTTCTTGCGGCAGACTGCCAAGCTGCGTCTTGCTGGAAAAGCTACCGAGGAAAGAATCAACTAGGTCTTGACCCTTTTGGCAAAAATGGAACTTGAGAGCGTGGGAGCGAAAAAGACTGCGGTTGGACTGAGGAGCCCAGTTTGGGGAGGGGAAGGGATCTCTGGGGTGTCTGGCGGGGCAGAGGGGTTTCCTCTGGATGAAGCAGGTGAGCAGCCAGGTAAAGCAACTGAAGGCGCGCAGGTTGTCATTCACCTGGCAGATGCATAACTCACAGGGGTCACCAGGCGACCAGATCTGTCCAACTGGAAATTCAACCCCGTTGTCGTCGAGAGAGCAGCCTGGCCAGGGAACAGTGAAGGGGATGGACAAGTGGGCAGGATGCCAAGTGGGTCCTGATGCCCACTGGGCCTGCAGCTCCATCTACCAAGGGCTCCAGACACACACCTGTGTTTCCACCCGCTGAGCAGACGCTGGCCCCAGACGCTGCCACAGCTGCCAATCCTGTTCCTTAGTGAAGCTGACCTCCAAACATGCACCTGGTATGCACACACACTCACACAAACACACACACACCCAACATACACACACGGAGACTTACCACACACACAGACACAACCCACACACATAAACACCCTACAGACACATACACACTCTCACACGGGTGAAGCTCAGCCTCCCTCCACAGTGTTGGGCTGTCCCGGGAGGCAGAGTTGAGTGGCCCTCACCTGTCATGGGCCTGGGCTCCCGGCAGGTGAAGCAGCACTGTCCAGGGCCCAGCCACCATTCCTCACGGGGACAGTCCAGCTCTGGACATGGCGTGAAGGAGCATTCCACCTCCCCATTCTAGAAGAGAACCAAGGAGCACAGGATGGTGAGATGGGGCCATAGGAGGGTTGAAGAGGAGGGTTGTGGGCCGGCTACCTCCCCTGTGCCCTACAGGTAAAAGTGATAACTCTCCAGGGAGCGGGAGGGAGATGGAAGTGGGCTCGGGTCCTTGCAGGGTGTTGAGCTGTATGTCCCAGCTCTGCTGGGCCTCCCATGGTCACAGCTCCATCCAGGCTCCCTGCATCCACCACCCTCCACACACACTCACTCTGCAGTCAGAGAATTACTCAGACTCCCAACCGGTCACATCATCCACTGGGTTTTGTACCAAAGCAGCGGTGCAAAACCCAGATTCCTGGGCGGGCTTGAAAAGTCCTTTGTGGTTAGGTCAGAGACAAGGGCTGGGTGTCCCCCAGATTCCTGTCCCCAAAATACAACACCTGGTGGATGGGCATCATCTCCTGCAGAGATGCCTGGATGGTTACTTGAACCCCCAGCCCCTGGAGGGACAAGGGGAGCAGAGCCCATAACTAGGTGATGGTGGGGTGTAGCAGTCATGGGGTACAGCTCACTCCGCAGGACTCCCGGTGAACCAGCCTCAGGCAGCCCTCTCCTGAAATGAGGATTCTTGGCTTCTCCCCTGTCCTTCCTTGCCTCCCTCACTGGCTCTCTAGAGTCTGAGGTTTACACTAGAATCCTGCCACAGATCCAGGAAGACCAACCCAAGTCATGAGTGTTTCTCCAGACTCCTCTCGTGCCCAATTCCTCTGGCTGGCACCGTGTTGCAGCCAGGATGGGTGCTTTGGTTCTTAGCACCCACTGTGCATGCGCCAGCTACCTGCCATTAGCACATACAGGCACACCTCCCTCAGCTCTTTAAGGACCTTCGTATCCTTCAGGTCTCAGCTCTGCAGCTTTTCCTCCAGGAAGACTTCCCAGAAGCCTAGACTGATGAGGAAGCCTGGGTGCCGTCCACTCCCACCTGGCGGTGAGTAAGCTTCGCCACACAGCAAAGGATATAGACACTGGGTCAACTTTAAGGGGGCCTTGAGGCATGCAGGTCCCTTTACTACCTGGGCTGCCTCAGTCTTCCTCTGGATGCAGCAGATCCTTTCCTGGTTCAAGGAGTCCTGAGTTCCTCCCCACCCCCACCAATTCTAGAAGGTTCTAGAAGGTTCCAGGACCCTCAGCCTTCCTACCTGGCAGGCACAGGTGGTACACTCATCATCACCCCCACTGAAGACAGCTCCATCTGCATACCATTGGCCACGGAAATAGCACCTTACTGTGGAAAAGAGAGAGAAGCTGGGGGAGGGGCAGCTAGAAAAAAGGGAGGCACATTGGGGACTCTGCACAGTTAACATAGCATAGCACACACCCAAGAATCCAAATCACTCCCCTGCTCCAAACTCTAGACCCCAGAATAGTTGTTCCTATTTAGTAGGACTCCTGGTGTGGCACTGTAGGATCAGCACTGGACTTCGACCCACAAGGTCAGCAGTTCAAACCCACCAAATGCTCTTCGGAAACTCGCTATGAGTCGGAACTGACTTGATGGGCAACAACAACAACATTTAACAACTGGTGTGGCACTGTAGGATAAGCAGTGGACTGCAAGCCACAGGTCAGCAATTCAAACCTCAGAAACCCTAGAAAGGGTCGTTATGAGTCAGAACTGTCTTAATGGCACCTAACAACATTTAAAAACGGACAGGAAAGAAATCACATGTAAAATAAAATCCACTAAGGAGTCCTGGTAGGACAATAAGTTAAGAACAGGCCTGCTAATCAAAAGCTCAGTGTTTTAAAGCCAACAGCCACTCTGCAGGAGAAAGATGAGGCTATCTGCTCCCATAAAGCTTTACAGTCTTGGAAACCCTACAGAGCTGTCCTGCTCTCTCCTATAGGGTCACTATGATGGTCATTTGATGGCTGTGGGTTTGCTATTTGTTTTTTAAGAGGGGTTATGGGTTGAACTGTGCCTCCAAAAAGATACATTGAAATCCTAGCCTTCATTCAGTACCTCTGACTATGACCTTGTTTGGAAATGAGGTCTTTGAAGATGTCATCAGACAACAGAAGGTGGGTCCTAATCCATGATGAGTGGTGTCCTCATAAAGAAGAGAAGAGATGCTGATGTAGAGGGGAGAAGCCCCAGTGATGAGGGGGACAGAGCTGAGAGGGATGAAGCTACAAACCAAGGCATGCCCAGGAATCCTGGGAACCACCAGGAGCTCACAGAGACAAGGAAGGGTCTTCCCTAGAGCCTTCAGAGTGACCAGAGCCCTGCTGTCTCCTTGATTTCAGACTTCCAGCCCCCAGACTGCAGGAGAATGAATCCCTGCTGCTTTAAACTTTGTTATGGCAGCCCTGGGAAACTGACATAAGGTCTGTAACCAAAAAGGCAGGGCGGCTCTGAGTAACTGGAGTGAGAAAGGAAGACTAGTCCCGACCACACCTAAGGAATAGGCTTGGGACTGACACCACCCCTGAGGCTAAAAGGATTCAGTGAGAAAGACTGAAACCTGAAGACCATTCCCACTGGTAACCAACAACAACAAACCCAAATCCAAAACTCTCCAGTCAATTTAGACTCATCGGGACCCTATGAGATGGAGCAGAACTGCTCCACAGGGTTCCCAACGCTGTGAATCTTGATGAAAGCAAACTGCCTTATCTTTCTCCCATGGTGAGTTTAAACTTCCAACCTGTTAGTTAGCAGCCCAGTGCTTAACTCATTTTACCACCAGAGCTCCTCACAGTGGGAAAGCCTAAAAACCGGCCCCTTGCCCATGCACAGTGAGTACACTGCAGGGCTAAATCAGGCTGCCGTTCTGAGTTCAAATCCCAAGTATGCAACCAGGGCATAACTTTGGGTGTTGTTGTTGTTATCAATTGCTGTCGAGTCGATTCCGACCCATAGCAACCCTGTATAGGGTTTCCAAGGAGCAGCTGGTGAGCTTGAACAATCGACCTCACAGTTCAAATGGTTTTTGCAGTCTGGCACATTAACCCACAGCGCCACACCAGGACTCCATTGGGTAAGACTCTTAAACTACGTGTGCCTCCATTTTCTTATCTGTACAATGGGTTTGATAACAGTACCTACCATATTAAGGACTGCTTTGCCTAGTTGACAAAAAAACAATATAACATCTCGGAGGACTCCCTGAGACTATCACCCTGAATACTCCATAAATCTTCAACTGCAACTACCCCTGAGATCACCTTTACCTAAGTAACAGATTGGCTCATAAAATAAAGGCGTACTCTGCAGCTTTAAAAACTTATCTAATGGAGGCAGAGACAATGACGTGGAGAGATGGAGCAGCTGAGGACTTTAGACACAGAGCGGGAGAGGGGCTGTGTGCTGATGGCTGGGGCGGGCAGGCTTGCAAGGTATAGCCTTTGGTTGGTTGATGATGCATGGAGGGGATTGTAACCATGGCAATGAAACGATATACGATAGGATGAATGTAAAACTAATGTTCTCCCATGTAAACTATCACATAATTCACAATAAAACATTTAAAAAAATCATCTAAAACATATTATCTCCATAAGACCAAATGTTCAACAATGATTCTAAAGGGTAAGTGGATAAGTGGGTAGGGGAAATGGGTTACAGAAAGCAAAACATGCAGAAAGGGAATTAATGAGAATGTTGTCACTTTGTGGGAACAATGAGTCATTGTTAAATGGGAGCCTAATAGTCTGTGTAAACTCTCCCTGGAAAAGCACAACGTTGTGCTTCAAAAAAGAAATAATAACATAATATCTAAAAGTCGTGGAAAGCCACTTGAAACGAAGCCACAGCAGCTACACAGCCGTAAAGAGAAACGAAGTCCCAAAGCACACCACAGCATCAATGAACCTGGAGTATTCTAAGAGAAAAAAGTCGGTCGCAAAAGGACAAATGCTGTCTGATTTCGCTTCTGTGAAATAAGCAAAGATATAGATGTTGTTGTTGTTAAGTGCCTTTGAGTCAGTTCCGACCTATGGCAACCCGTGTAGGGTTTCCAACGAGTGGCTGGTGAGCTCGAACCGCCGACCATGCAGTTCAAACCGACTTTGTAGTTCAGCGCATTAACCTGCAGTGCCACACCAGTACTCCAGAGATATAGATAGAAACTAGATTCTTTATGGTTACTAGGTGTGAGAGGGAGGTGGGTAGGGGAGGTTTTTGTTTGGGGAAAATGAGTTTATGTGAACAGTGGTAGTAGATGTTGGAAAGGGATCATGAGCATGGTGACACAATCTAAAAAATATCATCACTGCCATTGGATTATAAATGTGGAAGTTGTGTGACAAATGTTTCGGTGTGTATCTTTTCACAATGAAAAAAAAAAAAAAGGAGAACATCAGCTTTGAAATCAGGCAGACACGCGTTCAAGTTCTGCTCCATTACTAACTGGCTGTGTATCTGTGGGCAAGTGACTTGACATCCCTGAGTCTCCGTCTTGTCATCAATGAATTGCACTCCCTTAGGAAAGACCCTAAACAAGGGTTAATGATTAAAGGAGGTCAAGGGCCGCTCCATGCCCTGCACAGAGCAGTGGATCATGATGAGGTGAGGGTGTGCTCCGGACAGGGATGTGGTCATCTCAGTAAAGAGAACCACATTTCTCACAAAGGAGCAACTCAGTGGGGGAAGGGAGATGGATCCCCCACCTAGACACAGAGCCAGGCGGCTGCTGGATTCAAACCCTACCTGCCTGCAGGCTGGGCTGTGAGCACAGTCTAGCCCCCAAGACATGGTGCCCACATTAGGTGAGATCTGAGTTTCTGAAGCAGAAATCAACATTGTTCCTTTCTCAACTCACCCCACCCCCAACACATCCTAGAAAAAAACATACACAATACATGCATGAGGCCACAAATGCATACAAAACCCAAAATCCCCCAGGGAATCTCTCACCTGGAATACAAGTACAACAATCCGACTGCGGGGGACTCTGGCAGGGGCCGGGAGGACACTTGGGGGAGATGCAGGACACGTTCCCAGTCTGAGAAGAAGGTAAGAGATGGTGGCAGGGGGTGGGAGGTAGAACAGGGGTCTGCAGACCTTCAGGCTTACTGGGAAGGTGCTCATTCTCTATAACACACCTAAGGTTTCCAGTCCCAGACCATGGCTGCCTAAAGGAAGCCATCCAAGACCCTTAAAGGCCACTGTGGACATATGGACAGTCTGTAGGGACCCAGTCTCCAGGGCCTACTTACTGTGATTTAGAACAGCTCCCTCCCCAAAATGTGTTCTATGGAAAAGGGGCAGGATAGAGCAGCACAGAAGGAAACTGAGGTGTCTAGCCATCCAGGGCATCTGGGACGATGCTGAGCACCGGAGAGCAGCGGTTACTCCTGGGAATAACTTACTATATCCCTTCCTGTGCATCTGAGTTTGGAACCAAAGGGTTATATTGGCTATTCAAAGACCACAATTCAAAAATAAATTTAAAATTTTTGAAGTTAAGACCAAAAAAAATTAATTTAGAGAGCACTGGCTTTGGAGTCATCTAGGCCTGAGACTCCATATCTGCTCCTCTAGTAACAAGTTCTGTGTGACTTTGAACAAGCAATCGTACCTCTAAGCCTCAGTTTCACTATCTGTGAGATGGGTTGGAAGTGCTGAGAGATCAGCCGCCAAAAGACCAGGCCACTGTGCAGCTCACAGTGAACGCTCAATAAAGGAAGCGCTCAGGAAAGGTACCAACGACCTGAATGCTTCCTAGTCTTACACTGCAGCTTCCATCACTGCTGCCAGATGGTCAGAGGGTGGTGGGGAGTTGGCTGACAGAGCCTGGGCTCTGGATCAAACAGACTCAGCTCAAGTCCCAGCTCTGTCACCTCCAAGCCTCAGACTTCTCATCTGTAATATGGACAGCAAAGCCAGCTGGGAAGAGCTGTCGGGAGCCTCCAGTGCAGCAACAGAACACGTGTGTCAGCACCTGGAAGTGTCTGCATTTAGCTGCCATCAAGTTGGTCCTGACTCACAGGGACTCCGTGCACGACGGAACAAAACGCTGCCTAGTCCTGTGCCATCCCCACAATTGGTTGGCGATAGCACCGTGGTAATCATAGAATTTTCATTGGTTGATTTTCAGAAGCAGATCACCAGGCCTTTCTTCCTACTGTCTTAAGCGCCACTGAAAGCTGCTCAGCATCATAGCAACACACAAGCCTCCACTGACAGATGGGTGGTGGGTGGTGGCTGTGCAGCTGATGCATTGGCCAGGAATTGAACCAAATCACCTGCCTGAAAGGGGGGGTCCCATAACGGAACCAGCAATGCCTTAGGGTCTGTACATTGTTGCTGTTAGGCACCATCCAGTCGGTTCCGACTCAGAGCGACCCCAATACAACAGAATGAACCCCTGCCTGGTCCTGTGCCCTCCTCACAAGCAGTGCTGTCTCTGAGCCCACTGTTGCAGTCTCTGTGTCAATCCATCTTGCTAAGGGTCTTTACCAAGCAGGGACATCTCCTTCCTGACAACATGTCCAAAATATATGAGACAAAGTCTCACTCTCCTTGCTCCTAAGGAGCTTTCTGGCTGGACTGCTTCCAACACAGATGTGTCAGCCCACAGGAGATGCTTCGTAACTAATCTTGGAGGAATGAATCTGCCTAAAGCAGACTGCTCCTAACCAAGCTGAGTTTGGTAAAGAGCCTTCTTCCCAAATGCACTTACCTTTATTGCCTTGGCAAATATTTTGCCTGAAGAGAAAAAACACCTTCCTGGTTGTAAGTTTCTAAGGGATCTCACCCTCTGGAAACAGATTGACCCTGTTTGCCTGTTTGCTCTCTTCAGCTCAGAGGAAGCTCCAAAGACTTGGAGGCTTGACATTTCCCTCTGCCTTTAGATCCTAAAGGTTCTGATCAAAGTGTACAGCTCAAGAACACTGCCTGAATGCCCAAGCAGGTATTTAAAATCCACTCCTTTGCCCTTTGCCTAAAACCCCCAAAGGTTAAGAAAGCACCCGTGAGGCTCTGGGGACCCCAGGACACTCACCAGACAAACACAAATGGTGCAGTTCGAGTGGGGAGGGGAAAAGACTTCACCTTCTGCATGGATGACGCCACTGTGAAAACAGCCTTTGAAAGACAAACAGGAAGGTAGCAGACTCAGGCTCTTCAAAGCAGAGGAAGCCGGATGGTTCAGGGCTCTCCCAAGCATCTCATCCCTGCAACCTTCTCTCTCTTCTTAGATGTCCAAGAGTGGCAGGATCAGGTCTCAAGGACCTTGATCTAGAGGGACCACCCAGGAGACATCTGCATGGAGGCCCCAGGATGGTGGCATTTATGTCTGGTAAACCTATAGCTGTCTTCGGAACAAGGCATTTTAGTCTAAAAAGGGGGCCCAATGCCAGGGAAAGACAACCAGATAGCCCTAGGCTGGCTCTGCCTTCCAGGCTTGGCACCCCCTAAAAGTGGGCCCCCATTTATCCTCTCTCCCCTCCACTGCCCTCATAATCTTTAAAGGAATGTGCAATGATAGCTAGTACTTGTGTGGGTATATTTATCATCCCGCTATCGTGGGGCCGGTCTATTGAATTCACCAGTGATGAGCCAGCACCCGGGTCAGAGCACTGAGTGATGCTTCACACCCGGTCACTGCAGGAATGGAACCCTGTTCTCAGAGGTTCTGGAACCTGACAATGCATGACCACCGCGGAGGCCACAGTCTTCTGACCTGCACTTCTGCCACAGCTTCCACCCTGGCCGTCAGACTCTGGTCCAGCTCTACAATCTAGGCTGAGCCTTCTGACCACCAGCTGGCCATCTCCTGGTCCCCTCATATCCTGTAGGTCCTCATGGCAGCTGGGGTCACTGCTCAGTCCCTCCCTCTGCAGGCCCCACCACCCCCTTTCCCAGATGAACATAGCTCAGCTTCTCTGCTCCTCCTGAGCCGAGGCTATGCATGCCCACTGCTCCTAGGGCTCGCTCACCCATCAGCTGACTCCAGAGCCTACTGCCATTACCTCCTTCTGCCATTACCTCCTTCTGTTTGTCTTGTCCATCAGACATGACGTCCTTCATGGGCAAGCACTACATCTTGTCTCAGTTATAGCCACAAGACCTAGTCTGTTGCTATTGTTAATTGCTGTCAGTTGGCCCCAGACTCATGCACAGTGGAATGGGATGCCACAGGGTCTCTTGCAGATAGAACCACTGTGATCCTTAGGGCTTTCATTGGCTGGTTTTTGAAGCAAGTCACCAGGTCTTTCTTCCTCATCTTAGTGTGGATGCTCTGCTGCTGTTCAGCATCATACCAACAAGCAACCCTCTACGAACCCACGGTAGTGGCTACAGTGGAGGTGTACTGGCCAGGAACTGAACCTGAGTCTCCTGGATGGAAGGCGAGAATTCTGTCACCTTGGGTTCAGCATATATAGACCCACCCACCGCCAACAAGTCCACTCAACTCAGAGATACCCTGTAAAGGGTTTCTGAGCCTGTAAATATTTATGGGAGCAGAAAGTCTCATCTTTGACCTGGAAAGTGGCTGGAGGGTTTGAATTCAGTGTTTATCCTACAGCGTTACCAGGGTTTCTTACCATGTATTTGTTATTGTTGTTGTTCAGTGCCTTGGAGTCAGTTCTGACTCATAGAGACCCTGTCTAGGGTTTCCAAGAAGCTCCTGGTGGGTTTGAACTGCCGACCTTGCTGTTAACAGTCCAGTGTTGATCCTACAGCACCACACCAGGACTCCTCAGTGTATATAAACACTCAATAAAATTTCATTTATTCAACATTACAGAAGGGGAACAAACAAGATGGCAGATCGGGCAGAAGGGCAGTGAGGATCTCTGTCAGCTGTAACACAGAATACCAGACCAAGCAGGCTCAGGGGATGGTCCCAGAACTCTAAACTACTTATAAAGGAATATTTAGAAAGTTGGAAAGCTTACAGCCAGTGGAATTTGTAGCAGAAGCAAGAAATCCAGTGCTTTCTAATTCAAGGTGCTCAGCTGCTCCCTGAGTGGCCATTTTGGGTGAGACGGAACCAGGGAAGGATCAGAGCAGTCACAGACGCCTGGCAGAACCACGGAGATAAAGGTGTGGACATCCGTTTGTTTTTGTTTGTTTTTTTTTTGGTATCTGTTCATTGGTCTCTCACTGTCTGCGCACCTCCATTCTGGTGCCTAGAGGGGGAGCCTGAGCAAGTGGACACCCCACCCTCACCCCCAGAGGGTTCTACTATGAATGCACACAGATCTCCTCGAAATTTAAAGTGACAGTTTCTACTTAAAACCAAACGGCAGCACAAAACAGCCACAGTCGGTCCTGAACTGTTAATCACTAGGAAAAAGGCCTGAACAGGGGTTGTGGAGCAGACAGGCAGACTAAAAAGTTAACAGGCTGAAAATTAAATCCTGAGTTACATCATAATAATCAATAGTGGCATCTTGAGATTTTTCAGAAAGAAGAGTGAAAAGGGAAGCCCATCTCCTGATCACATCTACCTGGAAGCAATCAGAAAGCATAAAAAATACCAAAACACACACCCATCTAAGTATTAAGGCCATAGCTAACCACTGAATATGCCCCCAAAATAGAAACAGATGATCATATCAGCACATGTCCAGAAACAAGATAAAGTGACTGAGGCAAATGAGCTGGAGGTAGACCTGGACTCCATACTGGAAGGAGGGCAGGCTTCGGAAATGCCTGAGAAGGAATTCAGAAAAATGATTATAAAATTATCAAAACACTTTACAATGGAGTTGAAAAAAGTAAGGAAGAAGTCAGGAAAGTGCTACAGGAACAATCAAATAAGATAGATAGAGCATTGGAAACAATTCAAAACCTACAGAAAGAGGTCCAAATGATTAATAATAGAATATCAGAAATGGACAATACACTTAAAGGGCAAAGGAGTAGAATTAAAGAGATGAAAGCCAGAACTAGTGAGCTGGAAAATAAATCTCTCAATACCACTAAAGATAGAAGAAAAACAGCAAAAAGGATTTAAAAATCTGAAGAAGGTCTAAGATTCATGTTGGACAGCATGAAGAGGAATAACTTAAGAATTATCAGCATTCCAGAACAGGAAGAATCACACAAGTCCACAGAAAAGATAGTTGAAGAATTTCTGGAAGAAAATTTCCCTAACATCCTGAAAAGCGAAAAGATAAGCATCCAAGAAGCTCAACAAACCCCAGGAAGGATAGACCCTAAAAGAAAAACCCCAAGACATATAATAATCAAGCTCTCCAATTCAAAGATAAGGACAGAATCCTGAAGGCAGCTAGGGAAAAGAGAAGCATCACATACAAAGGCAAGCAAATCAGACTAAGCTCGGATTTCTTAACAGAAACCATGCAGGCAAGAAGGCAATGGAGATATATATATATATATATATCCCTGAAAGAAAAAAACTGCCAACCAAGAATCCTCTACCCAGAAAAGCTGTCAATCAAATACAGTGGTGTAATCAAAACATTCCAAGACAAACAGGAGCTAAGGGATTTTGCCAAAGCCAACTCTGCAATGGAAAACATCCTAAAAGAAGTTCTGTGGACAGAGAACCAACAAGAACAGACGACAACCAGCGATTGACATATGTGGCAGCATCACCCTGAATTCAGTCGCCAAATGGAAGAGTCAAGAACAGAATAAAATTATAAGAACAAATTCAAAGTATCTGGGAGGTCAGTCTACGATCAAAACAATTACAATGTGCAAGAAGATAAACACAGAGGAACAGTGATTTAGGTGGTGGGAAGGTCAGGTAAATTATAGGATAAAATAGATGGTCTTAACTGGAGGGGAATGTTAAAGAAATATAAGGTAACCACAACAATGGGGTTGGGGTAGGGAGTTTGCGGGGAAGGTGGAGGGAGGCAACAGTAGAGCACAGGGTAAAGGCAGACACATCATATTTCAGGTGTTGGGAAGGGCAATACAAGAAGGGCGAGGAGGTGGAAGAATAAGGTAGATAGGGGAACACTGAGACAGGTTTGCATGGGCTAAGTGGGACAGAGGTAAATAGTGATGCATGCTTAACCTTGGAACAACAGGGCTCTGTGATACAGGGATCTAGGCATAGTTTGAAGAGGGGAAATAATACTCAGATGCTTGAGTGTCTTATGAATATTGGTTTTCCTTGCCTACTATTGTAAAATAGACACTTGAGTGGGATAGAAAGAAATGTTGGCAAACATGATTACAGAAAACTTGTAAGCCTGTCTTCAGACTATAACTGATTCTAGGGGTTCTAGAACTTGCCCAGTGAAACAGCCCTCTTGTGGAGCCTTTGCAGAGTATAGGACATTAGGTGGAATCCTGAGTCCCATCCAGAACATTCTGAGGTGGAACATTCCCACTAGAAAGGACAAGCAGACCAGCCTGGAACAGCTAGAGCGAAAAAAGATGCATCTTCAAAGAAAGATCACCAGGAAAAACCCAAAGCAAATTGTCAGCATGACTGACTACTGCAAGAATAAGCAAGCTGTTCACCAGAAGCCATCAAGGCAAACAATCAAGTTCCTTCAGGACAAATCCCCCTCTAAGACTGAAACGCAAAGAGAACACATGAGAAGGCATGTAAGCTTGCTGGCAAGCACATTGATCTTCTGGTGAGTGGAAGAGGGGGGAAAGGCAGCAATGAAGAAATGGGCTGAGTTCAACCACAGTCCATTGACTCATGTTGACCTGGAGATGAGAGAGAGAAGAGGAAGGGCTGCTGGTCCAATGTGTGGCGAAACCTGGGGACATCTGAGCCCATGGATAAGGACATAGCCACAGAGGGCCAGAGCTGAGAGTGAAGCATCCAGCTGATATGAAGTGAGGGGAGAGGCAACAAGAACACCCAAATTTGCAGATAGTATCCATGTGACCTAGCCTCGATGGCTTGATAATCAGAACTCGACTAGAGGAAGATTTAAAAAAAAAAAACACACAACAATTTTTGATAAGGGAAACAAGCATAAATTCCTACAATTTGATGAACTTGACCTATATTCATGGAGGTTTGTTGTTGTTAAGTGCCATTGAGTCAGTTCTGACCCATAGCAACCCTGCATAGGAGCAGCTGGTGAACTTGAACTGCCAACCTTGCAGTTCAAACGGCTTTGCAGTCTGGCGCATTAACCCACAGCGCCACACCAGAACGCCATTCATGGAGGTAGTAACTCTCAATACCAACAGAGAGAGACGGAGTCTTCACATCAAGTATCAATGCTATCCCTTCTGTACACAGGGTATAGAAGGACGGGCAATTTAGACATTGGCTACCTAAAATGAGGGGGTGATAAAGGTACAAAGTGACTTGGCTTACAAGGTTTCAAGAGGGAGTTTAAGAGTGTATGGGGGAAGAAGAGTCCCCACTGAATAGTTTTCATCTTGTCTAGATAGGTCTGGTTAAAAGAGATGGGGATAAGATTCTTATGATTCAATAGTAACTGTTACGACTAATTGCAACTGTCACAATTGTAAAGGTAGAAGTTTTGTAACATAAATGGGAGAGTGGTTAATCTTTCAATCCAGAAACAAAGGACCCGAGGACCTTCAAGGGAGAAGAGCACAAGTGGAATGTGGGACCCTATCCAGAGAAGCAGCGACACCAGAGATGGAAGCAGACAGATGGGGACATGGAGAGGGATTGCTGCTGAGGACTCCAGATACATTAGAAGAGATGGATTAAGAGATGATGGCCATGAGGCAGACTTGCAGAATGTGCCCTTTGGTGGTGTAAATTATTATATATGCCTGTGTTTGCTGGGTTTTTTTAAAGAGCTAAAGTGAACAGAGAGAAATACTGTTACCAATGGTACATGGAAGGAAATGTAATCATTCTGATGAAACAAGTATGATTTGTTGAATGTAAAACTGATAATCTGCCCTGTAAACTTTCACTCAATCCACAATAAAAACTAAAAGGGAAAAAAAAATGGGAGGGGACTAAAAAGGCAAAAAAAAAAAAAATTCATTTGGGGAACAACTGGCTCTCAGCACTGTGTCTGGGACACCACTTTGATCCTTACAAACACCCTCCCCTCTCAGAGTTCACAGTGTGGTAACTGCAGAAATAAACACACAGTCACAACCATGTGAATACCATTGCGGGGGGAGGGGTAAGAATGGATCCATGAAGACAGAATGAAACAGTAAGTGAGCTGAGATGTAAAGGGAAGTAGGTGTGAAGGAGGACTAGACACAAGGCAGGGTTGAAGCCCAGGGGTCTGGTAGGGCCTGGCTGAGCAGCCTCCAGCAGTCTCCGTCTCCTGGGAGCCCCCTGGAAATGTAGACTCTTGGGGCGAGCTGTAGGAGAGTCTCAGTGGTTCCTTCCAGAGAACAGGGGAGGGGAAGAGGCATGCAGTGATCCTGTTCACAATCTGAGTTTCTCCTCTCCAGGAGCTGACACCAAGGAGCCATACACAAGTCCAGGAGCCGCTGGATAGTCTGGGTGCAGCCAGAACTGGTGGGAGGACCATGTGGGCGTCCCTGGGGCAGCCCTGGTCTGTGCCTGGGACACTGTGGTGGCATTAAGCCCTGCTTCTGCTTCCAGAAGTGGCCAGTGGAAAGGTGATGTGTGATGGTACCTGCTCCCACCCGAATCCCAGAGGGAAGCAAATGCAGACTTGTAAGCAGAAGGTGGGAGAGAACCAGGAAGGGACAGAATTTAGAATCAATACCCCCTCTGGCTCTAGGCTGGGCAGGGACAGGGGACTGCAGAGTGGATTTGAAATGAGTTGCTGAATGAATGAATGAATGAATGTAGAAAAGGGTCCCCAGAATAGGAAAGGCTTTCTTGCATGGCCGTCACAGCACAGACGAAAACGAAGCTTCACTGCTGTGAGGAGAGTCTGGAGTCCTGGTGTGGTGCTTCAGGACAAGCACTCAACCGTAAGGTCAGCGGTTCAAAGTCACCAGCAACTCCTGGGAAACCCTATACAGGGTCACTATGAGTTGGAACTGACTCAGCGGCACTTAACAACAAGCTGTACAGTCAATTCTGACTCAGTGACCCTATAGAACCCCACAGAGTTTCCAAGGTTGCAAATCTTTACAGAAGCAGTCTGCCACATCTTTCTCCTACCTAGCAGCTATGGGTTCAAAGCACCAAGCTTTCAGTTAGCAACCAAGTGCTTAGCCACTGAGCCACCAGAGCTTCTTTGGCTTAGACTAAGCCCCAAACCAAATCTATTGCTGCTGATTCAATTCTGATTCAGAGCAACCCTCTAGGACAGAGCCGGTTTCCAAGACTGTAAATCTTTATGGGGGAGCAGAGAGTTTCATCTTTCTCCCACGGAGCTATTGGTGGGTTTGAACTGCCAACCTTGAGGTTAGCAGCCCAATACCTAACCCACAGCGCCCCACAGGCTCCTTTCTGCTTAGACCAGTGGTTCCTAAAATGTGGTTGGTTCCCCCTACCAGCATCATCAGCCTCACCTGAGGATTTGGTTAAAAATGCAACTTCTTGGCCAGCCCCAGACCTGCTGAATTTGAAAGCCTGGGGCCAGCACGCAGCCTGCAGGGGTTTAACCAGCCTCCCAGTGATTCTGAGGGTCCAGCAACCTCCAGGCAGCAGGAGGGGACTCAGCCAGGCTGGGGGCTCTCCCCAGCACCAGCTCTCACCTGAGCAAGATGGGCAGCAGCCCCCGTCTGTGGCGGGAATCGGGTGGGAACAGGTGGTCTCACACGTCACCTTTCCACAGGTCACCTCCCCGTCCTGGAAGCAGAAGCAGGAATTGTGGCCACCACAGTGCCCCAGATACAAACCAGCGCCACCCTGCGGACCCCCACACTCACCTTACACCAGCACTGGCTACACCCAGGTTCTGTCCAGTGGCTCCCGGGCTGGCGCATGGCTCCCTGGTGCCAGCAAGGTGAGGACCCAGCAGCCAGCCTTACACCAGTTTCAGAGCCCTGGGGCGGGGAAGGGCTGACCAGCAGGGAGGCACTGGGCCCTGGGGCAGCCATCACAGTAGAGAGCAGCTGGCTGGGGGCAGGAGGGGAAGACGTGGGTAGTGCCGGGGTGGGAGGTGGCAGGCAGGTGGTCCTGACTCCAGTTGGGGGCCCTGGAGCTCCAGGAGGAGGGCTGTGTCCTGGGGAGAGGGCCCGCTGACTGGCATCTGGGGGCAGCAGCAGTAGCATTTTGGGGGGCTGCTGTAGAGGCTGTAGGATGGCAGACGGGACCAACAGGGCTTTTGGGAAAGCTGAAAGGGAAACACACAGGGGTCTTGGTGGGGGCACCCAGAGGTGGCACCTCACAAGTCCCCAAATCTCTCTGGGCCAGTTTCTTCATCAGCATAATGGGTTAACAGCACCAGTGTGAGGCCAACCTACTCGGGGTATGCTGACGGTCCCATGAGAAGATGGATGGAGAGGCACCAGACGAGCAGGGGGGTGCTACACTGATGCTGGAGATGGGGTGCCTTCAGATACTGCAAAACTAGAATCTTCTCTCTGCCCTTCCTGACAGCCTCACCCCCACCCCTAGACCTGAAGTGGGAGGGGGGCTGTCCCCTGCCCGGCCGTTGACATGTGGACTCCCACTGAAGTTCAATAGGAAGGAACAGCCTAGGGTCTTTCCAATCCCATGGCAGACAGGCCAGCTTCCAAGAGGATGCAGTCACGTGTGCCCACCCACCCACACACACACTCTCATACGCACACTCTATCCCTGTTTCTATCTCTCATATATAGTCTGTTCCGCTCTCACACACATACACATACTGTCTCTCTGTCTCACACACACACACACCCATACTCTCTCTCTCGCATACACATACATTCACACATCCTCTCTCCTCTCCCTCTGTCTCATACACACAGAGAAACTAGAGCATTTTTTTTCCTTCTGACGGTGCCCTGGATTTAGAAAGTACTTCGGTGAATAAAAGAATGGGTCCAAACTCAAAACCAAACCTACTGCTATCAAGTCAATTCTGAACTGTTCCTTAGGGTTTCCAAGGTTGTACATTATCTTTAAGGAGCTCTGGTAGCGTAGTGGTTACGAATCGGGCTGTTAACCTTATGGTCAGCAGTTTGAAACTACCAGCTGTTCCGTGGGAGAAAGATGAGGCTTTCTGCTCCCGTAAAGAGTTATAGCCTTGGAAACCCTGTACAGGGTCGCTATGAGTCGGAACCGACTCCACAGCACATAACAACAACAACATCATTTTTACAGAAACAGACTGCCTCATCTTTCTCCTGAAGAAAGGCTGGTGGGTTCAAACTACCGACCTCTTGATTAGCAGTCCAAAACTTAGCCCACTGTACCATCTGAATGAATGGATGGACAGAGCCAGAGAATGAAAGGCTCCCTTTGAGGGACATCACCTCTAACCAAACGCTCTCAAAACAGGAAGAAATAGGAACCTAAAAGGAGATAAAAGGTCTGAAGTTGGCCTGAGTGTTTGCACTCAGCTGGTCACCTAAAGGTTGACAGTTTGAACCCACTCAACTGTGTCGAGGAAGAAAAGGCTTGGAGATCAGCTTTTGATCGAGGGCAACTGACAACCACAAGATGAGAAAGGTGAGATTCATAAGTCAGAGTGAGGTGGGAGAAAGGCACAGGCCAGGAGGTGGGGAAATGAAGGGTCATCAACATGGAGCTACTACAGAATACATCCTGGGAGACGCAGACGATGGACAAGTCACTGGGGACATGGAAAAACCTCCCTGAAGCAAGATAAGTGAAAAATGGAGGTTTTAGGAAAGAGTTTCCATCATTAACTAAATGACATGATAAAAATGAAAAATTTTAAAGCCCACTGCCACTGAGTTAATTCCAACTCATAATGACCCTGCAGAAGAATGTTGAGCATTTCTGAGACTGAAAATCTTCACAGAAACAGATGGCCATATCTTCTTCCTTTGGAGGGTCTGGTGGGTTTAAATCACCAACCTTACAACTCGCAGCGGAACAACTGCTTAACCACTGTCCCACCAGGCCTCCTATGTTACAAGATATTGTTGTGAGGTGCCATCGAGTCGGTACCGACTCATAGTGACTCTGTGTACAACAGAACCACACACTGCCCGGTCCTGCGTCAACCTCACAATCGTTGCTACGCTTGAGTCCATCGATGCTGCCACTGTGCCAATCCATCTCGTGGGGGGGTCTTCCTCTTTTTCTCTGAACCTCCATTTCACCAAACATGATATCCTTCTCCAGGGACTGGTCCCTCCTGACAGTATGTCTGAAGTATGAGAGAAAAGCCTGGCCATCCTGGCTTCCAGGGAGCATTCTGACTGTATTTCTTCCAACACAGATTTGTTAGTTCTTTTGGCAGTCCATGGTCCTTTTAATATTCTCCTCCAACACCATAACTCAAATGTATCAATTCTTCTAGTCTTTCTTATTCACTATCTTATTTATACCTATTTATATCCACACTTTTTTTTTTTTTTAACTCTCCATTTCCTACTACTCCGAGGCCCTGGTAACCACTAACTTCTTTCTATCTCAATGCATTTGCCTGATCTAGATATTTCATGTAAGTGGGATCATAATTGGATTCTTTTCTTAACTTATTCAACTTGACATAATATTTTCAAGTTTTATCCATGTGACGCATACATAAGAACTTTATTTGTCTTTGTTACAGTTGTTGTTAAGTGCTGTCAAGTTAGTTTCAACTCAGCAACCCTATACAGGGTTTCTGAGACTGTAAATCTTTGCAGAATCATAAAGTCTCATTTTTCTCCCAGCTGATGGTCTCAAATCGCTGACCTTGTGGTTTATTGTTGTTGTTGTCAGGTGCCATCGAGTCGGAACCGACTCATAGCGACCCCATGCACAGAAGAACAAAACAATGTCCGATCCTGGGCCAACCTCACTACCGCTGCCACACTTGACGCCATCAATGATGCCACCTGGCCAATCCATCTCATTGGGGGTCTTCCTCTTTTCTCTGACCCTCCACGTTACCCAGCATGACATCCTTCTCCAGCGACTGTTCTCTCTGGACAATGTATCCAAAGTATGAGAGACGAAGCTTAGCCATCTTGGCCTCCAAGGAGCACTCTGGCTGCACTTCTTCCAAAACAGATCTATTGGTTCTTTTGGCAGTCCATGGCACTTTCAGTATTCTCCTACAACACCACAACTCAAAGGCATCAATTCTTCTACGATCTTCCTTATTCACTGTCCAGCTTTCGCATCCATATGAGGTTATTGAAAATACCATGCCTTGGGTCAGGCGCACCTTAGTCCTCAAGCTGACATCTCTGCTCTTCAATACTTTAAAAAGTTCCTGTGCAGCAGATTTGCCCAATGCCATACGTCGTCTGATCTCTTGACCGCTGCTTCCGCGAGTGTTTACAGTTGATCCAAAGAATGAAGTCCTTGACAACTTCAATCTTTTCTCCATTGATAAGAATGCTGTTTATTGGTCCAGTGGTGAGGATTTTTGTTTTCTTGACATTGAGATATAATCCATCTCGAAAGCTGTGCTCTGTGATCTTCATAAATAAATGTTTCAAGTCCGGTGCTTGGTTTGTAGTCCGGTGCTTAGCCTACAGCGCTACTGCACATCCTCATTTTTCTTTATGATTGGGCAATACTCCATTGTATGTAGATAGCATGTTTTGTTTACCCATTCATCTGGTGGCAGACATTTGGGAGATTAATTTTGGCTCGATCATGAATATTGGTGTACTTGCATCTGCTTTCAAATCTTTTGGGTGTATACTTGGCTGAACATCTAGGTCATCTGGTAATTTTGTTTAACTTTCTGGAGAACCGGAGCAGCCACACCATTTTACATTCCCATATACCCACACTTGAGAGTCTGAGGCAGGCCTAGGCCTGCCACCACCGTATTCGAAGCGGCTGTTCCTGACAGTCCACAATTAGAGTTCTGTTACATTCTTTTATAAAAAATTTTTTACCATTGTTGTGGGCTGGGACAGAAGTCTGCAGAAAAAGCATAAAATAGAAATAGAAGATGAATATAGGTAAAGAAGTGGAAGGAAAAAGTAAGGAAGAAAAATATAACAAGTGTGAGAAATGATTTTGTGAGAAAGTGGAGAATGAAGAGTATTGCATTAGGCAAATCTGCTGCACAAGACCTCTTTATAGTGTTGAAGAGCAAAGATGTCACAATGAGGACTAAGGTGTGCCTGACCCAAGCCATGGTAATTTCAGTAACCTCATATGCATGTGAAAGTTGGACAGTGAATAAGGAAGATCATAGAACTGACACATTTGGAGAAGAATATTGAAAGTGCCATAGACTGTCAAAAGAACAAACAGATCCATGTTGGAAGAACTACAGTCAGATTGTTCCCTGGAAGCCAGGATGGCCAGACTTTGTCTCTCATACTTTGGACATAATGTTAGCAGGAACTAGTCCCTGGAGAAGGGTATCATGTTTGGTCAAGTGTAAGATCAGAGAAAAAGAGGAAGACCCCCTACGAGATGGATTGGCACAGTGGCAGCAACAGTGGGCTCAAATATAGTAATGATTGTGAAGTTGGCACAGGACCCCACAGTGTTTCCTTCTGTTGTGCAAATGGTCACTTTGAGTCATTACCAACTTGATGTCACCTAAACAAAGGTCAAAATGTATGTCAGAAGAGACACTGAAACTTTCACTCCAGAGTAGAGATGTTATAAGGCAAATGGAAGAAATGAGGAGGTACAAGAGCTGAC